GGGGTGGGGGTGGGGGGAGGGGGTGTGAGTTGAGCAGCAACTGAGGGAGGGTAGAGGCTAGCATTGACCTTAACAAGTTAATGGGCACCACAGTCATATGTTAATTGAAGAGCCACTTGTTCCTCATGCCAGAGATGAGAATGACTTCTTTTTTAGCAAGCAGGAACTTTCTCAATGCCCTCCCATGTAAATCTAGACTTAAATATGATTATTTATTTATTATTGGGGTGGGGTTTCCTCTTGTACCTCTGGCTGTCCTGGAACTCACACTGTAAACCAGGCTGGCTTCGAACTCATAGAGTTCTGCCTTCTTCTGTCTCCCAAGTGCTGGGATTAAAGGCCTAGGCCACCACCACCCAGCTTAAAATATGATACTTTAAAAAGGACCTATTTCTTCTTTGAAAATAGTGTCTTAGTAGGTTCTCACCCCTTCACCTACCACCTCAGGTTCCCCCTTTGTAAATGCATGGCCCTAGTTTCTTTCCCTCCTTCATGTCTGTTGTTCTTTTGTTTAAGTTTAAAAATTAGAAAGGCGTGAGACAGAGATGAAACACGAACCGCAAAGAGTATATTAACCAATTTATTACAGGATGGGAGAGAGAGAGCGTTAGAGGGAGAGACAAAGAGAAGGTAAGAGTAAGAGATAGGAAGGTAAGAGAGAGAGAGATTGTAAGAGTAAGAGGAAGGGAGCAAAGAGAGGAAGGGCCGACCATGTGGAGGTGCTCAAGTAAAAGGGGGAGGTTCAGCATGTCTCCTTACACAGTCCTGTAATGAGTGATAGTAGCCATGACATGGCCATGCAATGCAGGGCCCTTTGAGCTGCCTAAGTAACTGCCTGAATTCCTCATGTCCCACCCATTGTCAGGGTGCGAGGTCAGCATACCAGTTCCAACAATTTCACATGTGTCCTTTGTACTCCACTTCCTCTATTCCTCAGAACCCATCTTTACCCTCTCTTGGTCTCTTTTAGTGTTTTAGGCTCTGCCTACATTTACACCCATTTATGTATATATGGACTTTCATACATTACAGGCTGAGCTTTGCAAATGAAAGTGAAGTCTTTTCAAGTTTGAGTGTCCCTGATTAATGTTATACTTTCCAGATGCATATTTTTCTGTAAATTTATAATTTATTTTCCTTTATAGCTGAATACAATTCCATTGTGTGTAGGAACCACATTTTTATTATATATTCGTCTGTTGATGGGCAGCGAAGCTAGTTCCATTTCCTTGTTATCACATATACACCAGCAGTACACATGGAGGTACAGGTATCTACCTCTGTAGTAAGGTATTCAGACTTTGGATAGATGCTAAGGAGTGACATAACTGGGTCACATGATAGTTCTAATTGTAATTTTTCAAGGAACCATCATACTGATTTTCATACACACTAGTTTGCATTCATACCAGCCATATTTACCAGAATTTGTTGTCAGATTTCTTGATTACATCCACTGTGTCTGGGGTGAGGCATCCCTACTTATGGAAATGCAAATTAAAAGGTCTTTAACAAGTTTGTTTATTTTTCTACCAGCATACTGATAATTTTGCGGAGTATACAATCCATTCTTACTTTATCATAACTGTTTCCTCAGAATTTAAACCTATGGTTCTAATGTGTAATTGCATAGTTGTTTTTGCAGATATGTAAAAAAAAAAAAAAAAAAAAAAGGACCTATCCCTGTTGCAATTTCGGATGCAAATATTTTAGATTTGCTCTTTTGCCTGTCTTTTTCACAGTCTATTTCAAATTCAACATTAACGTACTAAACTTTATTCATACAGATAATTTTGACTTTGAAATTACATCACAACACAACTGTTCTTACTGATGCAATGTTTTCTTTTCATCCTGAGAGAAAATCTAAAAGATAATTGTGCGTCCCCATATCTATCACTTAACCAGCGTATTTGTATTCCACTGTATTTTTGCAATGCATGGCTCCTATAAAAACAATGTAAACGAATAGCTAGCTCCTTGAACAAGTTTCCCCATAGAGATGCATTAGAATTTTTAAGGTAAGCGTCAGCTTTGGGCGCTTAACTACAATCTTTTAACTTCTAACCCAGCACCTTCTCCATTAGGTCACAACTTGTCCTTTGTGAAAGGCTGAGACTACCAGGACCCATCAACCAGTGCTTGCAACAAAATGGTTTCAAACCAACTATTTTTACTCAAAAGCAAAGGTGTACATCTCTGTAACAGATGATCGGACTCTGATGAATTACAGGTGTGATGTATTGTCTAGTTCGGAAGTGAGAACCGCATGAAAAAATAAACTTCATATACAGTAAAATCCAGAAGGGTGATGAGACAAGAGAGGCCATCCCAAAAGGTAACCCGCAAGAGGGGCAAGCCAGAAAGACCCGAGCAGCTCACCCAAGCTTGAACCCAGGCCCTGTGGCTAGCATTGCAACAGCTGGCTGCAGGGAGTTACCCCCTATTACACCCGCTGGCTCTACTTCGGTTTGCTGGACCTCAAGGCTGACGAAAGGGCAGCTGGGATTGGAGCCTGGACTCAAAACTCCTGACCCCAGGCTACCCAGAATTCCATG